GCTGAAATTTTAGGGTAATGACCCTCTGCCCACGCTCAACCTTGCCCATTCAAATTCAGCCTTCCTGTACCCGCGGGTAACACGTACGGTCCCGTGAAAGTTTTTTACGGGTAAATTAATATCTCGAAAACCACGGAGTCTAGGAAGCTGAAATTTTAAGGTGATTACCCCCTACCCACGCTCAACCTTGTCCATTCAAATTCAGCATTCCCGCGCTCTCGGGTATCACCTACGGGCTAGTGAAAGTTTTTACGGATAAATTATTATCTCGGGAACCACGACGTCTAGAGCGCTGAAATTTTACGGTAATGATCCCCTGCCCACGCTCAACCTTGCCTATTCAAATTCAGCGTCCCCGCGCTCTTCAGCATCACCTACGGCCTCGTGGAAATTTTGGCAGGTAAACTATTAATTCGGGAATCACGGAAAGATATTCACCTTCAAGGTTTCGAATTCAGCTTTCATGCACTGGTGCGTGAAATTTTTAACTATTTTCCTATGTTTGAACTATTTTTGCATAGACAAAAATACAAAGCAGTGAAAATCATTAATAGGCAATCGTTCGATGGGCCGATTTGCACAAAAAGCATGATCGCACCGGCCAGTCTGGTGTGTGTTGTTATTTATTTTGTCCTGTGTCACTGCCTCTATAATAAATACACTCTTTTTGCTGCTTTAGCCTAGCACCTTAATTATTGGTTTCTTCAGTCCATCGACACATTTACAACCGGTATCAGAATCTACCCTCGTTTAACTCATTGAAATTTCAAAGCAGATGAACTTACCCATCCCAAATTTGGGTAAAGGAGAAGGTAATAAAATTGCTGCAAATAAACTGAGGTCATAATGGCAGAATTCGTTGTCTCATTGATACCTCTTAAACGATTGTCTATCTGAAAACGAAAAAAAATTTCATTAATATGGCCGAGTGTAAAGCCTAAAAATGTAAAATCCTTGAGAAATCATCGTGATGCAAGCGCATGTTAGGTGCAGATAAGCCGTAATATTTTCTGTCCCCCCTCCCCCTCCCCCCC